GCAGTGTTGTCCCCAGCCCTTTAACTTCACTCAATAGGGGCAAATGTAAACCTCCAAGGACAGGGGCAGGGGCAGCAGTGTGTGTGGAAGACCCTCCCTTCTGGAGGTGGTCCAGACAGGCCAGCAGGTGTGGAGGTGCTCTGCAGACACCAGTCACTCTGGTAAAGGGCATGGAACACTGCAGCATGTGACACAGCTGCGACAGCACCGGGAACTCTTCTTCCAATTTCTGTTTCTATTTCTTCCTAACAACTGACCAGCTGTGCACAGACAGGTTCTGGTGGGTGAACCATACCTCGAGAAGTGCCGGCCATGTCTTCTGGATACAGGTAACAAATCTGAGCTCTGCTTCCTCCTTCCTGAGTCACACCATGAGAAGGGAGGCAGAGCTGCCAGGGGGCTGGAATTTTCCATCTGCCTAGGCTGGAGGTTTGTCCAAGAGACTCTGGAAGAAGTGTCCACCAGGCCATTGGCGGTCCCCTGAGATTGCATTCAATGTGACTGTACTACCCATCCATCACCTCGTCCATCGGGCTGATTACAAAGGGGCTAGAAGGCTTATGCAAATAAGCATCATTTGAACAGGGTAAAAAGGCACAAGGTCTGAAGAAATGGAGCAGCAGGCTGGGAGATGCAGCCCTAGGCAGGCTCCCAGGCACTGCAGCCCAAGTGGGACAAGTGAGCTGAGGCAGGAGCTCTGTGCTCAGGAAGGGGCTTGCCATGAACTAGTGTGTGAGTTCTGGTCCTGGTCCTGTGTGCCACAATGATTCTGGCCACAGATTCTCCTCCTGAAGCCATTTCTGATTGTGCCCCTTGTAAAAAAGTTTGATTTTTGTCGGTTCCAGAAAGAAATCCTCACCACAGTTCCCTGAGATTCCCAGCACAGGCCTAGGATTCATCTAGCATGTTGGTTTCTCTTCCTTTTTAAGTTCTGTATGCTAAGTACTGATCTGGCCAGCTGGAGGCGCAGAAAGGGGCCCAAAAGACAAAGAGATGGGGTGGGAGAGGCTATCCTCCTGGGCAGGCTCAAAGGAGCAGGCCAGGTCTGCGGTGTGTGGGGGGGGTGGCCAGACACCTTGCTCAGCCTTCCCTGGGTCCCTGTTGTCACCAGTACCTGCCCATCTGCTCTGCACTGCTGGCCACGTGCCTCTCATCACATGAGCTTGTGAATCTCATCTGGAAACTTCTCTCTATCCCACCCCTCCCTAGGGTCCCAACCACTCTCTGTACACTCTCCATCACCAACCCTGATTCCACTGGGATGCTTGGTCCCCACAAGCAGTGGAACCACTGATGACCATGCACCTCCAGGTGGAGCTAGGCTGGGAGGAAGGGCTGAGTGCTCCACCCCAGGTCATCTGTGTTGGTGGGGCCAGCATGTAGGGGTTGGGGTCAAAGAGGAGGCAAGAGGCCACAGAGGGCTGACACTGAGCAGAGGGATTCAGGTATGGTCCTACACTCATGAAGTGTTACTGTCACTGTGATATGGACATCAGACTCTGAGGGCATTAGGGAGTCCCTCAGAGGGGGAGTTGTCTAAATCTGAGCCACCAAGGAGCAGGGAGAAGGCTGGACACTGGCCTCATACTGCTCTATAGCACTGCCTCTGTGCTTAGGAGCTCATGTCCAGCAGGCACAGAGGGACCAAGCAGCAAGAGAGGGGCCCTGCTGGGAGAGAGGGGCCAGGGCATGGGCTAACCCTGCTCTGCAAGCAGTGGGCAGTGGCCAAATCAGATGGGAAATCCAAGTGACAGTAAGGGCATAGGGCCCAAGGGAGGGACAGTGGGTGAGAACTGTGAAGGGAGGTCAGAGGTGGCTGGGCAGGAGTGCAGCCTAGTGAGGGAAGCACAGGAACTTGGAAGAGGGCCAGTAGCTGCTGAAGTTGGGGAGGAGAGGCTGGCCTCCAGGGACCTGCTGAGGACATGATGAGATGCCATCAGCCCAGACATGGGAAGGAGGAGGAGCTCACAGTACATCTCAGATCAATCAGTACCTATGGATACTGTCCTCCATGTCCTCTTAGCCGCCTCACCTGACCGCTGATATGTGGGCTCTTCTGATGAATTATACTTCCATGAAAAGAGAACTGAATAGGCAAGTGGAGGGAGCAAGAGACATACCTCCCTGCAGTGTGTGTTCCTGTAGGGCCATGCCTTGGTCTGGTCCCTTCACCTGGCACCTCTCTGTCACATGAAGATCCCAGGATGGACCTTCTTGGAGTTCCACCCAGCTCTGGACCGCTCTAGTCTTGCTTAGGATGGCTAGTTTCTCTGGGCTCACTCCTACTCTGCCTTGGGACTCCAAAGCACCACATGAAGGGTTGAAGGCACAGCCCCACTGAGCAGGTCTGGGGGTGGGCAGCCCTTCACATTCCCACAAGGCTGCCTACAGCAATGGCTGCAGTGACACCTCCCTGCTCCCCTCCTCCAAGAGTCACACCAGCATCAAAGCCTAATCGCTCCTGATGTGAGCTGCTTCCCGGCTGGGCTTATCCAGGTGAGAAGGTCCCAGTCATGCACATTCTATGTGTGGTGCTGGGGCAGGGAGGAGAGCCGCGGAGCTAGCTGCTTTGTTTTAGGGAGGGAAGGTGAAACTAAACAGCCAATCAGGGAGGCTGAGGGTGAAGGTGAGAAGTCATAAAGAAAGCCCCCTAAGCACCTTCTCTGCTTGCTCACCACCAGCACCCCCAACAATGGCCAAGATGGCCCTTCCTCTCCCTGGGAAATGATCTGCCTGGCCCAGAGTGGGAGCAGGAAAGACCAAGCACTGGAAGCTTGGGCAGGTAGAGGGTGCAGATGAAAGAGAAGCTTCCTGAAGCAGCTGTACCTGGCTGCACCCGCCTGGCGGTGGTCACTGAGGCACTGACACTGCACTGTGGCTGGCCAAGTCACTGAGGCACTGACTTTTGGAGCCCTCCTCTCTGTGTGCTCTTGCCCAACTGCGGGTGGGGCGGGGATGGATAAGGAGGCAGGAGGAGGACTCTATCTTGTCATCCTCCACAAGGGGGGCGGGGAACCTCTTCTCAGGAAGCAGAATTGCTAAGTGTGAGAATCCCACTGAGAACAAAGTGGGAGTGTGGGCCGGTGGAAAGGTGGCCCTCCCACCCACCCCTATCATAGGGGATGGACTTCCATGCCACCCCCGGCCTCCTGGGGCAAAAGGGCTGCCCAAGTCTCTTGATGGGGGGTGGGGAAGGCTGCATCCCTCCTGGCTCACCTGAAGAATGCCAGGGTGCGACTGAGTGTATCTGAGAGTCCATCTGGGATGGAATTCATACAGCCCAGGTGAGAAGGGTTATGAATCTGTATTGGGGTGGGTGGGCAAGGCTAGGGACCCTCAGGATGGCCGGGGCAAGGATTCCAGGTCGCAGGGTAGCCCAGAGGCTGGCGACGAAGCCCATCTCCATGGGAGGAGCGCGGGGGCGAAGTGCTTCCTCTTGCGCGCAGGAATGCGGCGGCGGCGGGTTCTAATTAGAAGCCTGGCGCAGGAGCGGGCAGCCCGCGGGGCTCTCCTGGACGCGCTGCCCCTGGCTCCCCACAGCCGGCGGGACGCGCGTCAGTGTCCCTGCGCCCAAGGGCGCGCGCCGCCTCAGCCGGCGCCCGGGGAGGCCACCCAGCGCCTCAGGTGCCACGCCGCGACGCGGGGACGCGGGGCATGCGGGGATGTCTGAAGCGGATCTCGTGTCCGCTGCCCTGCAGCCTGGCGCAGGAGCGGGCAGCCCGCGGGGCTTCAGCAACCCTAGCTGCCCACCCACCCTCCCCGCACTGCTGCGCCCGGCCCCGCGTCCCCACCTCAGGCTCCCTGGCTCCTCTCTTGAACCATCTCGAAGAGAAAAATTATTATCGGATTAGATGTACTTCGGCTCGCTCGGTCTCCCCGCTTCCCTTCGGTGTAATTATTATAATTCTAGGCAAGCCGTCGGAGAGTTGTTCCTGGGTGGGAGGGGAGGGTGTGCATGTTTGCGGGGAGGCTTCTGTCCAACTAGGTCCCCATCAGCGGCGCTTCCCAGCCCCTTGGCGCCCGCATTCCTCCCACTTGTGTTCCTCACATCTGGGCATCTGCAAGCGTCCCCGCGTCGGAGCTGGGATGACCCTTGCACGATGGTGGGGTGCTCTGAGGAATTACTCGTGGGGAAGGGTCGCCCTTATTCTCCCTCCCTTCAGGGTAGGTGCAGCGGAGACTGGAGACAGAAGAACGCAGACCTTGCTTTTGGTTTATCTGTACTTCCATCCCCAAGTTGAGGAGGGTCTCGAAAGTAGCGTGCCTTGTGTGGAATGGATCAGACAGCACACTCCTCTCCGATGCGAGTCCTGGAGCCTCCCCCTCGCTCTCAAATCCATTGCTTTATCCCTCTCTCCAGCAGCCCTTCCTTGCTAGGCAGATGCAGGCAGCGGGCAGCGGGCTCACAGAGAGTGTCCCTGGGGACCCCCTCATCTGCAAAGGCCGGGCGGCGCGCAAGGCTCAGAGCTGGCTCCAGTGCGCCCGCCGCCCGCTCCGCGCCACTCCCCGCCGGGTCCGGGCTGTCTTTACGTAACTACACGGCTCCGAGCTGTTCAGTCTTGTCTCTCTGACTTTGTTTTAAAGTGTGTGTGTGTGTGTGTGTGTGTGTGTGTGTGTGTGTGTGAGAGAGAGAGAGAGAGAGAGAGAGAGAGAGAGAGAGAGAGAGAGACCCTAAAAGAGTTTCTGGAGAAGCGCTGCTTCCCGCTTGCCCTCTTTCCTCGCCCCTCGCCTAGGCTAGTGCTATCTAAACTGACCCTCTTTCCACCTCTGTCCGATGCCCGACGCCGATGCTGGGGACAGCTGGAACCTTCTCCGTTCCCTCTACCCAGATGGGGCGGTAATTGCCTCCAGAACCTCGCTACCTGCTGCCTGAACAGGTCCCAGTGGAGACGAGGAAGACAACCCGCTCCGCGCGCGGAGCGTCTTCAGGGGCCATGCCCGAAGGGACGGCTGCTCTGGGGCGGCACCCGGGCCGGGGAGAACGCGAGGAGCTCACTCACCACCAGATCGGGTAGCTGCCCAGCGCCTGCTCCAGGCTGCAGAGCACTAAGAAGTATCCGAGTGGAGCCATTGCCAGGCTGAGGACCTGAGGGCCAGGAGTCCGCCCCGAGAGCGCGAGCGCCGGGGCGGGCCGGGCCCGGGGAGCAGGAGAAGCTGCGGCGGCACTCGGCACTCCTGTGGTCGCGGGG